GATCACCAGCAACATGAAACAGATCAGCAGCAACATGAAACAGATCAGCAGCAACATGAAGCAGATCAGAAACAACATGAAACAGATCAGCAGCAACATGAAGCAGATCAGCAGCAACATGAAACAGATCAGCAGTAACATGATGTGATTTTTCACAGTGATTCTCCTGGTTAGAGATTCATGAGTCTAACAGCCTCAGGGTAGAAGCTGTTCCTCAGTCTAGTGGTTCTACACTTAATGTTCCTCAACCTCCTTCCTGAGGGGAGCGGAGTAAAAAGTGTGTGTGCTGGGTGAGTGTGGTCCTTCATGATGCAGGTGGCCCTCTTCCTGCATCTGGAGGTGTAGATGTCTGTGATGGTGGGGAGGCTGACTCCAACATCTTCTGTGCAGCCTTTTAACGATGCCGACACTTCAATCTCCAGCATGAAAGCAGTTACGTCCACAGTGATGTCGACACAAATGTTCTTTTGGACCGAGGATGCGGTCAGGTCGCTCCTCCATGTTGAAATGTGCGAGCAGCACAAACAGCACTCTCCATTGTTACTGTTGTTCATCTACTCACAGAAACACTTTTGAATGCAGCCGTCCGGAGCACTCGTGTGTGATTTCATGTAAAAACTCCACTCAAAGAGCGGGATTCAAAAAGCTTCGACGTCAGAGGAACGGACCGCTCTTGTTGTGTGGACAAACAGCCGGAACGCAGCAGAAGTGCTACAATTTGACTCATAAACGTGGCCTTAAGGTCCCACCATACTTTCAGTCAGGTTGAGTGAGGTTCTGGACTCTTGTTGGACCACAGCAGCATGTTCGTTCTTTTCTTTTTGACCCATTCTGTTGTAGATTAGCTGCTGTCCTGTTGGACCCAGTCCTGTTAGACCCAGTCCTGCTGGACCCAGTTTAGTTGGACATATTTGACTCCAGGATCCTTTGAGGAGTGACACCATGACTGCAAGGAGCCCACACCATCAGCCTGCCACCACCATGCTGACAGCTCATGTGTTTGTGCTGATATACTGCTTGGTTTTCTCCAAACATGTCGCCGTGCATCATGGGTAAACACCTCCTCCCTGGTCCTGTCTGTCCAAAGAACCGGGTCCCAGGAGCCTTGTGGTTCTGTACATTTTCAGTCTTTTTTTAAACTCTCTTGGCATGACCTTTGACCTTTAACCCGCTCATCAAGGCTTGTAGAAACATAAATTGAGAAAACTGCACTGAGCATTGCACGGTCTGACCTTTGGGGTGAATGTGCAGGGATCTCCACACTTGGAAGGTTGCCAGCTGTCCTAAATGTTTTGTAAATAAGGTTGTCTTTGTAGATTGGACTCCACAGAGTTTGGAGATGACCTTTGACCCGTCCCTGACTGATGGGCTGTTTCTTTAAGGTCATTGCTGATGTTTTTACGTCTTGGTGTTGTGTTGACACACACCTGAGCGCTCCATATTTAACCTCTGCTTCTATATTTTTGGATTAGTTTTTGTTAATTAATAAAATGAGTCATCTGTCTCTGTTCATCTAAGGAGTTTTATTCTAATTTTAAAGTTTGGTAAGGAACAAATCATTTTTAAAAATTAACATATTTTCAGCGGTTAGTGCTTCATTTTGTCGAGTATAAAAAATAAAATCCACCGCAGTTTGACTTAATTTCGTGTATCTTTGTTAGGCAGGACCTGTGCAGGTCCCTCGCCACATGTTCCTCCACCTTCGGTTTAGACCTCGTGCTTCAGTTTGTTTAGACTCAGGATTCATGCGTCACACCTGGATAATTATTTTTATTATTAGTTCATATTTGTTGCCGTGGTTACTGATGGGTCTTCGGTCAGAAATGTAACGAGTGTTTTCTGCACCGTTTTTGCCGTTGGGACAGAGCGTTTCTCGTGAGCTGTTTTGTTTTTTTGTGAATCTTAAACTATTTCTTGTTAATTAGACCTGGAGGTATGTGTTAATATTAAATGTTCATTTGAACATATTTAGTGCGTGTAATATTTGGGTCCTAGATCCATATTTCTTCTCTAAAGCTTTGAAATATCTGACGTATCAAGAACACAAGATGCAGCGGGAGATATGCATTCCTTCAAGGAATTTAAGGATTTAATTTATTGACTTTTATATTAATTTTGTTACTGATCATATTGGCAGTTGGCAACACGACGGCTCAGTGGTTAGCACTGTTGCCTCACAGCATAAAGGTCCTGGGTTCAATCCCCGTTTGGACCTGGGGTCTTTCTGTGTTTGCGTGTTCTTCTCGTGCTTGCGTGGGTTTTCTCCGGGTACTCCGGTTTCCTCCCACAGATTAAAAACATGCATGTTAGTCTGCCTTCAGGCCCAGGCCTCCCTTGCAAAAGAGATCTGTGATCTCAATGGGATTTGACTGGTTAAATAAAGGTTAATAAATAAAATATTTATATCAAATATAATGTATTTCAGTGATTCTTGAAATAAGGGACAGAACATGTCTGCTGGATAAAGTATAACATTTGAATAAAGTATACACAAAATATGATTTCTTCAAATAACTGACAAAACGAACTTGAGCAATGTCAGTATAAGAATGTATGAGTTCAAGGTGTTGGATGAAAATGTTTATTTTAAATTATGTAACATGTGGCCGGTGCCTGTAAAAGCCCTTGTCCTGTTACATTACTGTACTGTACTTTAAAACAATTTAAATAATTCTAAAATAATCATGCATAACTACCAAATATAAGTATTTAAATAAATAATTTCATAAGCATATAAGTACTGTATTTCATATTATTTTTTTAAACATTTTTAATAATATTTTACATTATTTTTTATTATTATTATTAGTGTTTCATAAGTATTTCATAAGTAGAATAAGAAGTAAATACCTAATATAATTTTTTTAAATATTAGGTATTTACTTGTTATTCTCTTTACATATTTTATTACTTATCTGTAATGGAATATAATTATCCTCATTATGCTACAAGTCTGTGGTGGACCAGGTCCACGGGGTTCTGGGGACGACATGAGCCAAGTTCCATGTTCGTCAAGTGGCCTGGACCCCGGTAATAACCGCTCGCAGTTCTACTTTATATCTGTAATTGTGTTTGAACAAGTCATGATGATGTCGTCTCTTGAAGATATAAAGTGCTGTAAGAAAGTGGAATAAGTTGTAAAGAAAATGTCGTTTTGGCAGCAAATGAGCTGAAAGTGTTTTGTTAAAAAGCAAATGGAACGTGTGTGGTGTTTTGTTCTACATTTGTTCCTGGAGGTTGTTCAACGTGTTGTGTGATACGATGTGTTTCTGCTGCAGTGGAAACCCACAGCTCCAGCTCCAGTTCTGGTTCAGACGACCCGTTTACCAGCCCGCCCTCCCCTCCTCCGCCGCCGCGCACCTATAAGCCCTGCTTCGTGTGTCAGGATAAATCCTCCGGTTACCACTATGGAGTCAGCGCCTGCGAAGGCTGCAAGGTAACACAATCACCGCGTTAGCTCGGGTTTCACTTTCTCATTTCTCTGAAATTCAGTTTGAAATTAAAGACGTCTGAGTGAAAGCAGCTCCGAGGCTTCATTGACCTTTTATTTACTGGCTCCTAAATGTTTCACATCATGTTAAACTTTTAGCGTAAAAGGATAAATCCAAGCTTCAAGTAAGACCGTTTTTATATTCTCGATGTCCTTCCTGTTCCGTTGTCGCCCTGCAGGGCTTCTTCCGCCGCAGCGTGCAGAAAAACATGGCGTACACGTGTCACCGCGACAGGAACTGCATCATCAATAAGATCACCAGGAACCGCTGTCAGTACTGCCGCCTGCAGAAGTGCTTCGCCGTGGGAATGTCCAAAGAGTGTGAGTGTTCGGGTCTGACCCAGATGTGACCCCCTGCAACTCACTGGACTGTAACCTGGTCTGTTTTTACCAAAGATCTACAGGACCAGTTCAGTCAGGTCCATCTGTCCGTCCGTCCGTCCGTCTGTCCGTCCATCCATCCATCCATCCATCCATCCATCCATCCATCCATACAACCATCCATACAACCATCCATCCATCCATCCATACAACCATCCATACAACCATCCATCCATCCATCCATCCATCCATCCATCCATCCATCCATCCATCCATACAACCATCCATCCAAACATCCATCCATCCATACAACCATCCATCCATCCATCCATCCATACACCCAT